AAAGAGAGAGAGAGAAACCTACAAAAATAAAATAAAACATAATATTATTATTTCATATAACTTTCGTAAATAATATAAATACATTATTTTTTATATACGTTACACAAATAAAAAATAGATCCAATAAAATCATTCACTGGTGCACCTACCTTATATAAAGCTACGATAATATGCAGAATTAAAACAAAACAGAAAATTAATCTGGCTGCTATTGAAAATATGAAATAAATATTTTTCTAGTTAAGTTTGTTAAATAATGATATTATATAAAAATCTCAAACATTGTTCTACATTTTTTGTTTATGGTTTTCCTTTATAAACATTATATATGTATAATGGATTTCATATTTTCGATAGTAATGCGAATTCTGCGATTATTCGTTTAAGCACTTTATTCTGCATACACATACACTATTTTGACTGATTTATTATTTACATATTACAGATATATATTTTTTATCTAAAAATAAGTGAATCGTTGTACCGCCGTTAATTGTATATTTGATAATTTTATCTCATTGTTATCTAACGATGTTGATGGTAAAGCGTGTCGGAAAGTCTAAATCTTAATCATACAACTATATTCATTAATTTCCTGTTTTAATTTATGATTCGATAAACGTGTCTGTTTAAATTTTGATTATTAACTGAATCATTTCAATGATGTTTAAATAGGAAAATCAATTTTCCCTAAGTAATACAGGATAAAGATGTCAAAAGTGGAATATTTTGTTAATTTAAAACAACATGATATTTTGAAAGCAGAAATTAATAATCAAAAAATTATCGAATATTATGAAACTAATATGAATGAAAATTTATTAATTTATTTATTTATTAAACAATTTTCTTATAACTATTTTTTATTATACATCACACCGATTATTCTTTCTTAGAATTTTTTATCTTTTCACAATTATATTTTAGAAAACTTAATGTTTTTTAAATATTTTTTCATATTATCTAATACTCTTTAGTTGAAATATATATTATATATGAAATATAATATAATATTTTAATAGAAGATAGCAAAATTTATAAATTTTTTTATAATTTTACAAAATATTTTACATTTGTACTCTTTTTTAACAAATGCATTTTTACTATCTTTTATTACTTTTTGGAGTAATATTTTATATCAATATGTATCTTTTAAATTCTATAAATATTTTTCATATATAAATAATACAACGATTTCAAACAAATATTTAATTGATAAATTGAAAAACAAATAATTCATAACATAAAATATAAATAGTATGTCTGTTCCATATTTCTTCTTATATTGTCTCTCTATACATTTTTCATCGTTTTTGTTGATGAAGTATTTGTAGGCAATTTGAGCAATTTGACTTGTTATTTTCGATAAATTTTTAATCAATGTAGTTGGGTCAATGCAGTTCAACAAAGTTTGTTGTTCGTTATATGATAGCGACATATCGATAAAAATTGGTATCATTAAAAGACAGTTTCCCACATGTATTAAGATATATATTTTCTTAAAAAAAGACTTTAAAACTGAACCTTTTTTTAAAACAGAGATATTTTATGAAATTCGAATTGTTTGTATTAATTTTTTATATCTGTAAATGATGACTGATATAACTATAACTTTATTTTCACCGTGAATTGTTAAATGTTAAAATTGTAAAGAGCCATGTTAAATGTTAATTAACGTTTAGCACATATATTCGGAGTTTATTTGGAATTCAGAGTAGCAAGTACTCTTAAAATAGAGATAGGTACCGATTTTCTGCCTTTTCTTGTCATCCATCAGAGATCTACATATGTATTTTTGAGATATGAATAAGAAAGGCATATTAAATGTTGAAATTATTTTGATGTGTTTAAAGAATATATTATAAAAGATAGAATGAGAGAGAGAGAGAGAGAGAGAGAGAGAGAGAGAGAAGAAAAGAAAATGTAATATATTCATCATTATTATTCCAACATTTATGTGTTATAAATAATTTTCTAATTTTTTGAAATATGACATTTTAATTCTTTTTTATTGTAATGTGTAACATAAGTTATTTTGAAACAAAAAAAAACAAAAGAAAGATTTCCATTATGGTTATCGGCGTAGTTGTATTGTGGAGTAATCGGAAACTGCGTAGAAGTGCAATACTTCTATATATGTAAAACAAAATATATGTTACATGTAGGTTACATGTAAATACATTATTTTTCAATGTACAAAGAGAACTGCGTATTCCACTTTAGAAAAATATATTTTAGGTATGAGACAAAAGAGTTTTATTTTCTTTCTCTGTAAATAAAAAAAAATGTCAGCTTCCTCACAAATAAAATCGTGACGACCGATAAAACACATGTAAAAAGTATAAGCCTACAAGAACCGAAATCTTTTTAATTTCCATTAATGTACATTTGAGTTACATTCGTATAAAATTTATTCGTTACATACATGGAAATAAAAATACGAAGATTTTATCTGTCATCTCACGGGGTATCACGCACAAAATATGATACGTGATTTCCGAGCCATTTTGTGTCAGAAAGAGTATCGTAAAAAGTTTATGGATACGTCGAATGCTATCCTTAGGCGGTATCCGATCGCAGGAATTTAAACGTTATTTTTTAGTCCGAGAAACGTGCTATCAAAATCACGGCAATATAGGTTAGCAAACAATAAGAGAATAATTTATGACTTTTATTATTATCAGCAATTTGAATGACGAACTCATTCAAAGGCGATGATAATTTTATTTCTTTAAATTCGTAAAAGACGTAAACACGCCTTTTAAAATTGGCGTGTAAGACTCAAAAAATATTGATCCGATTGAGTTTTCCTTGTGCACATATTTAGATAAATACTTTCATCATAAGCCACTATTGAGCCACTATTTGCAATTGTATTGTTTATATAAAAAATTCTTATAATTGACATGTGAAAATCGATATTTTTGTCTTCTACGTGTCGCCACTTTTACAATTTCGTATTATTCTTTTTAAAAATAGGTTCAATTAATAATGTAAATCTCACAAAAAAAAAATCGACTCTATTTTTTTTATTTAGATGAATACAAGCAGCGCTACATTGCAGGCCGACCTCTTATGAGTGAAGTTTAAAAATGATGGAGTG